GCTCAGAGACTCAAAGATGGACCGAAAGAGCAGAGTCCTGCTGCTCAGAGACTCAGAAATGAGCCGAAGGAACAGAGCCCGGCTGCTCAGAGACTCAAAGATGGACCGAAAGAACAGAGCCCTGCTGCTGGTGGCTTAAAAGTACCCAAGGAAGCTGTAAAACAAGGCCAGAGCAAGTCGAGAGAAAATTCGGCTAGTCGCTCGCCGGCCACCCACAGAGGGAGAAGTCCAGGACCAAAAGCAACAAATTGGTCACCACCTCCGACACCTTCACCCAACCGTCCACTACCTCCAATACCCAGCCGAACAGTGAAAAAAGATGAATCTGTTGACAGAGAAGCTGCTCGTAAGCGAGAAGGAAGTGGGGTCAGAGACGTCAAGGGAGAAGCAGAAAATGTCACAACTAAAGCGAGTCAGTCAGACCCTCGACTGTCTGACAGAACCGAAAAGCCACTGCCACCATTGCCTACCTCGTCTCGGCCGTCGTCTAGAGCTCCTAGAGCCTCGTCCAACCTCACTCCAACGTCATCTAGGCCGACGTCTCGAACCCGGAAACCATCACCGGCGGCTACAGGGCCCCGACACCAGCCAGGTCCACTCGTCGCAGCAGTAAAGCCGTCGAGAGACTATACACCACCCCCCATTTCCCGGGCATCTCAGGAGGCCTGGCGGCGGGGGAACAAACTGAACCCTTCTGCCACTGCCGGCGGTCAAGGCTCTCGTAACGTATCGCCGGCGTCCACCTCGTCCGTGACGAGTAGCATCAGGAGAGGCGCAACCAGCCGACCAGGAATGCATGTACCTACAGCAGCCCCAACGTCGCTACCGCCATCTTCGCTACGGCCATCCTCGCCGCCATCAGCCCCAGTCAAGCCAGCGGCGGCAACAGGAAATCCAGTGATAGTAGTCCCAAGGTCGGATCCGGTCAGTCGCTTCAGCGATTCTGACGACTCCATCTCGCTTTCCAATCTCCCAACAAACGGGCCAAAGTCGACGACGCCACCGAAACAGCGAAAGAAAGATACGGAGCGGAGATTGAAATTGATGGAGGAGCCGCCGTCAACACCAAGAGAAGCTGTGAAGCGGGCCGTTGCCAAGGCCATCGTCCCCTTGGGTCATGGTGTTATCTCCGTCGGCCGGCGGGCATCGCGTGTCTTGGAGATGATTTCACCCCCGAGCCCAAGTAAGGCGGCACCAGAGTACCAGACTGACTCGCCTAGGAATCCCCTCTTTCGGACCATCAGTCGGGTGTCGACTGGTCTGAAGGATACCACGGTTGGTCTTGGGCCGTCGACGAGGAAGACGCTGGGAATTGCGAAGCCCCGGATCTTCAGCGGATCTAAGGTTGATAGGTGGGCGCAGCAGGATCTTGAATTTGAGGGCAAGGGCAAGGTGGTTACATTCCATACGTATCGACGAGGAGGTGATGAGTACATGGATGATAAAGCGGACCTGTTTAAGGAGATGGAAAAGGAGATTCGGCCTGGAGAGGCTGATGATCCAGGCGACATTCGCGAGGAACTGGACGAAGATGAGCCGGTGGCTACTCGGGGAGAGTATATGGTACAGCAGTAAGTTGCGTGTCATTCGCCGTGTTTTTTTCGTCTTTTGCTCGCCAGTGTCTTGACTTGCCAGCGTCTTTAACCTCCAGTGTCTTTGACCACCAGCGTCTTTGACTCGACGTATCCTACTAGCCAAACCTGGGATGATGAGCTGACATATATAGGTTACAAAAAATGCAAAACATGCCGGAGCTAGCGCAAATGTACGACCACGACTTTACCTTTCCATTCCCAGAGAGCCCAGCAAAGCCTGCACAGAACACCAGATGGAGGGAATGCTGCCAGCTCTTCCAGCGTGACCCAGAGAGCACCAGCATTGACGACCGAGTAATCCTCGCCGGGCTCAAGACGCCAATCTACCTGTACCAAGCCTTTGGCATCTACTGGCAAATGAAGACCTCTCGAGCACTTGGTGGAGGCTTTGTCTGCGACGAGATGGGACTCGGGAAGACGCTCTCCTTCCTGGCCTACATGGTTGTCGAGAGACAGCTCGCAATGCTGCACTGGCAGGTGGCACATCCGGGCCACACCAAGAACGGCGGGCACACACATCTGACGGCCGAAGCAGCAGCATCCAATCCTACGCTGGCGTGTCCCAGCGCGTCACGGCGAGGCCCCGGATGGATCCCCTGCCCTTGTGCTTCGTCCCTAACTGCTCAACTCGTGCCCAAGCCAGGAGTTCGGCTTGCCGTCGTCCCCCCATCGCTAGTCTCGACGTGGGTTGAGCAGTGGAACACCCACATTGACGAATCGAACCAGCTGATGGCGATGAAACTTATCATCGCGCACGACGCGAGCAACGACAAGCCCATCGGTGGCGGGTTCGATCTGCGCGATGCTCGTCACCGGTCAAACCACATCCGGGTCCAGGCCGACCACGTCGTCTACGTCGCTGGCGACCGAGCGGACCACACCAAAGAGTTCTTCTCGGATGGCGCCCGCTTCGCCCAGGAGAGGCTCTTGGTCCTCACCACGACGGAGCACTACTTCAAGCACTATGCCAAGAAATTCGAGCGGACGGCGCCTCTGTGGTCGTGGGAGAGGAAAGAAGAGGGGGAGATACTCCCGGACCAGCCCGTCCCCGGCGTGGTCTACGGCATCGCAATGATCGACGAGTGCCATGAAGAGTTCCACAAGAACCAAGGTCGATCGGCGGTCCTCGCGCGTCTGCCGCGTGCTGGGAGGCCGTTCGTGTGGGGATATTCCGGCACTCCTCTCACGACGACGCCGAAATGCCTCGAGGGCGTCTTGTGGGCCATTGAGCGCCTCTGGCCAAAGAGCCACCGACGGAACGTGAATCACCTCACGGGCCTGGAGCAGGATCGCGCACTCGCGCAGTTCTCGTGCCAGAGACTCGGCGCCATCGCAGAGCAGTTTGAGCGGGACGTCAAGGAGAACAAGGGATCCCCGATCCTGTTCAGGGACATCTACTTGCGTCTCAAGCCGTTCCTCCTCATGTTCGTGCTCCGCCGGACGGCTGATACCCCCTGGTTTGGACAGCCCCTGATCAAGCTCCCGCCGCATGTGCACAAGGATATCCTGCTGGAGCACGAGGTGGAGTTCGACCCCAAGCTCGAGCAGTGGGGCTCGTACGTGGACGATCAGGTGAAGTCGAAGCTGGCCGAGCTGCAGAGCAACCGGCAAGACATCGACCGGCGGCTCGCGAAAGAGACGCTGCCGACCAAGTTCAGTTTTAACTCGGAGATGCGGATGCGTTTCAGCCAGCGGATCATGGCCACCTTTCCCTATCTGGTGCAGAATGCGGCCATCCTGCACCAGAACCACCTGGACTTGACCTACGAAGAGCTGAAAAAGTTCCGGGGGCCGAATGAGAAGCGGCCCGTCAACCCGTACTGGGTTCACCTGAAGGGGATCGGCGCGCGGAGTCCAAAGATGATGTGGATCTACCACTTTATCAAGGAGCTGGACCAGACGACGGACGTGAATGGGCAGGAGCAGAAGGTGGTGATCATGAGCGAGTTTAACCAGGTGGCACTGGTGGTGAAATTGGTACGTAGGCAGGCAGACTCCAAGCAGAATTGACAGACAGACTTCCAGGCAGACTTCCAAACAGACTTCCAAACAGAATTCCAAACAGATTTCCAAACAGACCCAGCTGACCCAGACAGTGGATCGAGACGTACGTCAAAGACAAGGGCAAACGCGTCGGCCTGGTCTACGCAGGCATGCCTCCCCGCGAGCGCAGATGCATCCTCGACGCCTTCACCGATGCCAAAGACGACAAGGGCAACCGCAAGCAGAAGGCCGACTACCAGTTCCTCGTCGGCACCACGCGCATCATCGGCGCCGGTCTCCAGCTCACGCGCGCGTGCCACGTGATCCTGATGGAGCCCGACTACGAGTTCTACCGCGAGCTGCAGGCCTACGCGCGCGTGCACCGCGTCGGGCAGAAGAACCCCGAGTCGCGCTCGTACCGGCTGCTGGAGTCGGGGAATCAGGTCGAGAGCAGGATCCTGCAGCGCCAGGCGGAGCGCGGGGAGTTTCCCGGCAGGCCGGATGAGGAGGAGGAGGATATCCACCGGTATGGGGATGTGACGGAGATGGTGGCGAAGTATGCCAGCCCGGAGGAAGGGGGTGACGGGGGTGAAGGGGGAGCGGAGGTGGCCGAGGGGGCGGCGGATGGGGCGGAGGGAGCGGAGGGAGCGGAGGGAGCGGAGGGAGCGGAGGGAGCGGAGGACTTGGAGACCCAGGCGTTTATGGATTCGCTCCCGCCAGCATTGGAGGTTACATTGCAAGAGTATATGATCAAGGAAGCTGGGCGGCCAGCCGTGGATGATCTATACAGCGGGAAGTAGATGGAAAGGGGTTTGTTCGTACCGGCGTTCTGTTTCTGTCGGACCGTGGACTGGTTAATATGTTCGGAGCGCGCCAGGCAGAGGAAGGACGGGCAGTTGTTTACACGCTGCGTGGGATATATTGGATCAGTCGTTATTCGATGTTTTGTATGCGAGTATGCTGGATATGCCTGAAGCTTGTATCGCGGCTGCTGAGTGTTGGGGTCCGTGCGCATTCGAATAATCACGCCGACAATTGGGATGAAGAAGAGAGATCCAAGGAATCGAATATTTTTGCAATGTTTGGATTTGTGGTTGTTACGCAATTGGGAAGTGATGGTTGAATGTCTCAAATCGATTTTCGATGTTCTCGCTTAAGTCTTGAAAAGTCGGGAATGTATTGGAATTTAAATATTATATCGAACATGAATGGTTTTTGAATGAAGATTTATTGCCGCAAGTGATAGACAGGACGTTGAGACGTAAATGAAGCCGTCTGATCGTCTAATAGACAATTCGAATAACGCGAAGAATTGATGGGCGAAGGACCAAGGAATGACAAACGGGATAAGCTCTGCGAGCCCTGCTTTGCAAGAGACAATCCGAGGAATCAGTTCTCTATAAAATATTTAGCTGGCTTGAAATCCGTCCTTAATTGAGGTTCACAGGCACCGTTACTAGCACCTCGACCCCTAGCCACTTTCCCAGATTTCCCCGTCAATTAGAAAAGCTGATTAGCATCCAAGACGCCGCGATACCCATCATCCGCATCGGCTCCATGATGAGATTGGCAAAAGAAAAAGAGAGAAAAAAAAAAAAGGTCGCACATGCAGCCCGTGGCTCATCATCGATCTGCCTCACTCACTCGCAGAATCCAAGACCTCGTCACCTCGTCACCTCGTCGAATCGTCGAATCGTAATTATCCCTAACCATAACTCCCTCCTCGGTGCCTTCGACCAGGACAGTACAAAGCCGTCCACCCCATCCCCCATCGCAACCCACCCGTCCACACCAAAGAATTCCCCTCACATCAACCCAATCGTCACATCTCCCTTGACCCTCGCATAAAGATCAACCTGCCCACACGTCAGTTCCCTCGCACCCGCTTCCCGGCCCGCACCGGTTGACATACCTCAACCTCCAGGTCCAGCTCAATCTTGATGCTCAGACTGCTCTCCCCCAACGGCTTCGCCGGGCGGTCCTTGATCCGGCTCTCCCTGATGGCCGCCGGTCGGTAGCCCTCTGCCCGCGGCGGCAGCATCGCGCGCGCATCGTACTGCGGCGGCGCCTGCTGCTGCATCTGCTGCATCTGTTGCGGCGCAGCCTGCTGCATCTGTTGCGGGGGGGCCTCGTCCTCGTAGTACTCTTCCGAGTCGTACTCTTCTTCCTGGACCTCGGCCGGCGGGAGGGCCTTCTGCTTCGGCTTCTTCGGCTGGCGGGGGGTGGACGACATGGTGGGCGAGGAGGTGGAGGATTTCCTACTCGCGGAGAAGGTTAGCTTGGTGGGCTGTCAGGCTGTCACGGAAGAGGGGGATTCGCGAGAGTGGTGTGTGGCGCACGCGAAGTCAACAACGAGGCCTGGTCAACAAACGGACCTTTTCTGCTCCAGGGTGGACGATTGAGGGATCGAGAGATTGAATGAAGGGTTGATGCGCAGGCAGTCAAGAGCAGTGCGAGACTGCAAATTCGAAAGATTGTTGGATTCCCGCAAATATCGCACCGCCGCTCCCTTCTATACAGATACCAGAAGCCAGTCACCGCACCGCGACGTCATCCTCGAGATCTTGCTTTCGTGCTTATGGATTCTGGCACCCCTGAGGCGATCACACGTCATCTCGTCATCTCGTCGTCTCGTCCTCTCATTCTTGTTCGCAAGGATGTGATGATGGATGTGGGGGTGGGCTGGTGGATCGCCGACGCCCAAAATCCGGAATCTGATTGCGAAGGCGTCAGGGATTGGATGGAGATGATCCGCCGTGCAGGAATCTTTTCTTGGAGATTTATGACGCTGGATTTATCACGAGACATTTCGATCAATCATTGAGCCTGGATACGATTCGGAGTTTGGGATCTATCGCGTTTTGTTTTGATACACCAACTATTTAATACCGCAAGCATCTCCTCGATATCCTGATTCCCGAGATCTCAAGAGCTTCTTCACCACAACAAGAGTTCTAATCCAGTCCTTGCGGATGTGCTCTCATCACCGCGGCCATGTTCTGCTCGATGAACGCTTTGCATAGCTTTTGGAACGTCTCCGCATTGGCATCCGCCGACCGCTTCGCGAGCTGCAGACAGTTCTCGAGGTTGAGGAACATCTTTCCTGCGCGCAACATTCGGTCTTCCGCCTGCGACTTCAACGCTAGCATTTCCCACATATCAGCGCCCTTGCAGAGATTCAGAAGGACGTCTAGCTTGGCCGCCTTTTGGTCTTCGTTATCCTCGTCGGTGACCTCCATATCGTCCCAGTCGATAGGTTGTTGGTAGGCGTAGTCAACCAGTACCGAGAGTGTTCGATAGCTTAGAAATTCCGAGAGGATACTCTCCCGGTAGGTGATGACATCCTCCTGCTTTAGACCTAGATTTCGGCAGAATTGGGCTCTCTTGACATTGGAAACGGCAGAGAGGACCACCTTGTGCGCCTTGATGGTCCTACCCTGGCTCGTGAAAGCAATATCAGCCAAGTCGCCGGCCTGTCGAAGCATATTGAGGGAAGAAGTAGCCGAATAACTCTCCTGGGTGTGTTGATCCGAGCGCGTGATGGTCGGATAGTGGATTGAGCTGCAACCCAGGGATGGAAGCAACTTCTCGAAATCCATCAAGCCCTGTCGCACGGCTTTGATCGGTCCCGAGTCGCATGAGCTGGCAAGCACAAGCGCCGTGATCGGATACCAGGAGTCCTGGATATCGGCCCGCGAAACTTTGCGGAAGTCCCATGATTCCAGATTGAGCAAGATTGCATCTTCGTTGGTTCCAAACAAAGCTTTGGTCTCCTGCGGATGATCTTGGAGATATCCGTAGGTGGTCTTGAGATCTTGGAAAAAGTCGCGATTTTGATCGAGTTGCTGAGAAACGTTGTCTCGCAGGTGCAGGGAAACGCTTTTCAAGTATTGTAGGTGGAGCCAGACCACACTGACATCGGGCTTCCCCTTTCCAGCAGTCTTGCCGAGGGCCTGGCTTGTTGGCTCGTTGATTGCGAAAGGAACCTGGCTCCAGCAGACGGGAAGATAATCCTGAGAAATAATCTGATTTAGACATAACTCGGGCTGTTGCTTTGCGACCGCGGCCATCCTCTCCCGTCTGTATTCTGACTCGGCGTTGAAGGCAACCCGTGAACGAAAGACACGTCTTATAAAAGGATTTGCCAGTCGCTGTAGGTGAATGTTGCTGTCTGGGCGTTGAGTGTCATCAAGGGGGTCAAGACTATCCCACAATCCTCTGCAAGATACGTTGTATAAATCCGCGCATCAACTTGGCAGACGCGAAGCGCCATGACTCGGATACACTCGATATAGTTTTCGAAGCTAACCAAGTGATCTGTGGATTTGCGTAGCCCTATGCGGCGCAACCACGGGAGGCAATCTCGGATACCAGTATGCACGAATCTCGTACGGGTCTCGTATCGGAATGCCGGTGCAAAGATCGGGACTTGGTGGTCGTAAAAGTGATTGGCCTTCTTCAGCGCGCAATTTCCATCCGAGACGATGGATTGCGATGCCAACCCGTCTAAGATAGAGGCCGAAGATTGGAAAGCGAAACCAATAGCGTCCATGATAGAACGATAGGTTTCCCAGTCGTTGACGGCGACACTTTGAGGCAGATGTAAGAGGTAATCTTTGATCATCTCTTCTGGGGGGAGCTTGCGTACACCTAGCGATGAGAGGCACTCTGCGTTCTGACCACGAGCCATAAATCCATTATCGAGAAACAGATGACGGTTCTTCACCCATGAGACGAGGAGAGAAGGATTTTCGGCAATCAGAGCATCGTTGGCAGAGATCATATTGATGGAATCGAAAGCCGAAAAGTTGGGCCAGAGAGGGAAGGACTTCAAAATGGCGCCCAGACTGTCCTCTGATGCGAGAGCTGGAGCTTTCGAGAGATGGTAAAACGTGAGATCTTGAATCTTCTAAAGAAATGTTCTTAGTATGGACAGGCACCAGAGAAACGGAACTGGGAAAGGGATCATGAGGCAAAGGTGTATACATACCGTCAGATTCTCCCGGGAAATTTCTTGTCGCACAAAATTGTGGAAGCTGGTTATTTTCGCAAGAGCAGACAACGATTTGATGAATCTGAAGAAAGAATCACTCTCGTTCAGCGTTTCCTCCTTGGTCATCAACAATGCCGGCATAAGTATGGGATCGACCATATACATTCCAGGAATGGAAAGACACAGGTCTCGATGCTCTGTGATCGAGGGTGTCACCACTGATGGAAGAAGATCGAGCTCGCTGGGAGTAATATACACATCGCTGCCATTGCGAGTTGCCCGGTAGATTTTAGCTTCAGATTCGCAAATCTCGTCGAGCTCAGTATCTTTCAAATCCGAGCGGGAGTTCCAACACTGCCAGAAGCGAGCGAGCCAGAGATCTTCCAGCCGACTAGGCACACCTACAGGAGGTCTCTTGTCTAAGAGCTTCTGGAAGTCGGAGAGTTGTAGCGTGCTTAAGTTTGAACTCAAAGTCATCTCGGGAAAGAACATGCTCGAGTGACGAAGCATGCTTCATGGTTATGAAGCTCTTGGATGCAAACTTGAAAAGTTCGATCTCTCATCAGAGGCGATGTAGTAGCTTTCATATTCTGTGTCGTCATCTTGGACAAGATTTAATCTTCCTATGCTTTGGTCGGCCATGAGGAGAACATAGCAGCCATCCAGCTCTACGGATTCTGCAGCCGGACGATTTATCGGGGTGAGTAGTCGGACAAACTTGCCCACGAGAACCCCGGGTTTGATGCAATCTCCAGGCATAGAGATTCTTGACTCTGGACAGATTTAAAGAGGTCCCGAAGCATTGATCCTGTAATGCGGCGCACGGTTTCAATCCGCTCGAGCTGGTTCGCAACCGGTTTTGGCACGTCGCTGAGGAGATCTACCTCTAGATTCAACAAGAGGGGCTTCAACATTCTTGAATCATGGGCTTTGAGATTATCAAGGATGGCGTAGTTGATGTCCAACAACCCAGCAGAAGTGTTTGACAAAACTTGGGCGGCGGACTGGGCCTTTGGGAAAAGCTCTAATAGAGACAGAGAAAGTTTTTGCCAGAAGGAAGTCCAGATGCGGAGTCCAAAGCTTCTCTCCGGAGGTTCGTGCTGGGGCCAGAATATGAACACATCTTGCTGAAGGTGGACCACAAGACCGGCAAGAAACTGCAAGTACATCTTTGGTATTTCTTGTTCTAGGAAGTGGCGATTCGACTCCGAGCTGGCGGATTTTAAGTTATGGTCGTCAAGCACGATTGATTTTCGATCCCCAGAAAGAGTAAAGGTGGCATGGACATGGACTGGTAGGTCAGAAAAGATGGGCAAAGGCAACGTATTGAACATCCTGGACGTAGTTGTTGTAGGAAAGTTGAATCCGGGACTTTTCTGGGTGTACGTCCTGTAGACCAAGGCAGCAATACCGCATTCTGTCCGTTTCGTTACTCTTCTTGAGCTCTCAGGGGGCAAGTCGGTTCCAGTGGCCGCATTCTCAATGCTGACCCACCACTCATCAAGGCCGTCAGCCTGGAGCTCTTCAGAGTCTCTTGCGTAAATCTTGAAGGAGCATGTGACGAATCCTAAAAATGGCTTAGGATCTGACGCGATGGCATAACCTTTATAATCGACCACCCAGAGTGCTGCTTTTCGACAGTATGAAAACCAATGCTCTTGATGCGTTGTATGAAAAGCAGAGACATCCGAGCCTCATTGAAGTTAGATTCCATAAGATCGTACACTTCATTGCAGGTGATTCCCCTCTGTCCACGGCGTAGAGCAGACTCACAACCTGGTAACAGCAGTGGAAATCGGAAGATTGTCCCAGGATAATGGGCCATGTTCGTTTTGAAACCGAAATGACCGGCAAACGGGGCAAGCAAGTTTGGAATAGCCTTGGCCACTCTGGACAGCTTCAATTTCATGCCTGGTTTTCTCCTTCCTTTCAAGCGGTTAAATGGTAAAATTTTCTGCTCTGGACTATCCATAAACTGTCAGAAAGGTCGGCATTATCAGCGGGGGATAACCTACTCAAGTATAAGGAGGTAGTCCCCGGAGAGGATCATGGGACTGCTTGTAAAATTGGACATGGTTTGCGACCCTCTTCCGAATTGACCGATGGTTTCCTTATCCTGCATCTTGCTACCTTGACCAACATTCTTGAAGCCATCAAAATCACGTGCACTGAAGACTGAATTCATTATGTTAGTGGTTATCATCGAAGAAGGAAAGGACCAAACATACCGCCATCATTGTAGGAGAGTAATGCGGGCCCTTGTAGGACCTTCATCTCGGGTGTCATGAGGCTCTCATATGCATGTTCTCTTCTATCTGGCAACCAGCGAATCTTGCTAGCACCTTGAGTGTCGTCTGCATTTGCGAGATACTCTCGGAAAGTGGTCTCGATAGGGTATCTGTCCAAGGTATCTGCGATACGAGACATGGCATCCTCTACTTGATCGAACTCATCATCCTCATCTTCTTCCATCTCCAACATCTCCTTGAGCATCCGGTCGCGGACACTGTCGATACCAAGAAGGTTGCTTATACTAAGCGGGATATCGGGGTGAGTGAATTTAAAATCTCCCGAATCTTCGGGGCCACCAGAGGATCGGATTTCTTGGAAGGTGTAAAATTGTCTGGACTCGCCAAGTATTTTCAAACCGGCAAGAGACTCGCCAGTACCAGTAAATCGGCTGGCGATTCTCAAGATCTCAACAGCGACTTTGACGTCATTGTCGTCAAGTCGATCTTTGGCTTCAAGCATGTCCTGGACTCTGGGAAGGTCAAGCACACCTAGATCATCGTCCCGCACATTCAGCTTCTCCAGGAGAATCTCATGACTTTGCCAAAACTCGGGGTCGACATTGGCAAAGTAAGGGTTCAGATCCCGACATGCAGCAGGGCCAGTAGGACGAAAAGCCCTCGATGGCTCAACAAAGAGATCGCTACCAGCGAAAACGCAGCAGAGAGTCGCAAGTTCACTGGCGACAAAGTCTAAGAGATTGTGCTTGCTGATATTAGGAAGTACTGCGTCGACAATCTTTCGGTCTTTAATCTCAATGCCATGCTTCAACTGCGAGAGCAAAATGTATAAGAGTAATAGTCAGTGCACTGACTATTACTAAGAGCTATAGCAAAGGAGTAGCCAAGAGACCAGCCAAGAGGCTAGTCCATACAAAGGAATACAGGCAGAACCCAATATTCCAATAAATTGACTAAATGCAATACTACACAACATCACCATGCAGCGTCGAATGGTATGCGCTAGCCGCCCAAGACCTCGAATCCATTACACAAATACTAATGATCTCTAGCTAACGAAAGAAGACGAGGCGGCGACTGGCGGCGACGGGGTCGAGGTGCGGAGAGAGGACCAGGACAAAATCAACAAATTCAGTCGTCTGCACCAGAGGGAGATAGCCCTCGAAGACGAACTCAAGTCCAAACAGGTCCGTCTACTGCGTCTCCGACGATATAATACTTACCGGAAAATCGCTAACAGCCGGCCGCTATAGAAAGAGAAGGAAGACTTAGACGACATCTCCAACGAACTGGAGCTCGCCGACGAAGACGACAAGATCCCGTACGCGGTCCTATCCCCCGCGAGGACGAATGCAGCTGCTGATGACCTGCAGATACAAAATCGGCGATTCTTTCATTTCTCTGCCACTGCCCGAAGTCCAAGACATGCTAGCGACGTCGACGAGTAGGATCGAGGAGGATGTGTCTGCGCTGGAGGAGAAGCTGGGCACCACGCAGGAGGAGATGTCACAGCTGAAGGTCGAGCTGTATGCGCGGTTTGGGAAGAGCATCAATCTGGAGACATGAGAGAATAACTAGCATACGGACGGACAGCTGTGTCGGTTACACTGCGCAAGTGATGGGAACGGGGGTGAGGAGATTAAGAGATTAGGAGAAGAGCCTTTCTCCATGAGAAGCCTCGTAAGGCTACGGATGGGGCTCTGGTTTACAGATAAGAATCTTCCCCATGCCGGTACCGATAATAGAGTTTCCTGGGCCTGTATTCGATGCATAGCGAGAGGCGCGTGACAGGAATATGCGGATACTGTTGACTAGATGGACAGGTCTCTCCCGATCGATGCATATATTTGTTTTCCGGTGCAGCTTTGCGAGAGACGTTTCCTATCTGTCTCTTGACTTGAGAGCAAGATGCTTCCCTCACCCGGACCAGTCATATCGGCCGGCACGCACTTCCGAGTTCTCGACTCGATAACCATTTTCTTTCTTTGGACCCGGAGTTCATGTCCAGGCTCTTCACGGTTATCGGCATCGTGCATGCGCATCAACTGATCCTATGCTCACGTTAATTGTGCCAGATCGTCCAAAATCTTCGCTTGCGGGGATCCAGACAGCCGGAATCACGACCGCGACGAATAAGAGGAGCCCGGGTAGGTCGGGATCGGACTCCTGTCGGCGGCTTGGAGCGTCGTTTTTCTTGTTGAGATTCCCGGCCCTATGAAAGTCAACCAATTAATTGCCACCACTTATTTCCACATCCTTTTTGGAGGGGGGGAGGGCCACGGACTTATTTATATAGCTCTATGTCTGATTTTGCTTCGCTATCTCGTTGATCATCGGGAAAAAAAGTCAAGCGACGAAGATGAATACGTCGAGAAGCGGGAAAGCAGGCGACGCTGGCCTGATTCCAACAACAAGCATACAATCTCATCGTCAGTGGCCCAAATACTCGACCTTTGTTATGTAACTTCGATCGAGTTCTAAAACAACAAATACAGTTCCTCATCACGCCTTACCACGAACTGTGTCTGGCATAGACGAGGCTGATGCCACGCAGAGATATGACCTTGAAGAAGCGGATAGCAAAAACTCGCTTCGGGAGTCAAGTGCTTCCAGTATCGATCCAGAGAAGACCATCATCTCATGGAAGCAGGGAGATCCAGAGAATCCATATAACTTTTCCACTGTACATTAAGTTCCCCTCATCTTTGCACAATCATCCATCCAGGACAGTCAACTGACCGACCGACTGTCTCCAGGCCAGAAAGGTAAGCATAGTCCTGATCGGCATACTCGTTGTCATAAACAGCACGATGGGCTCCTCTCTGCCCTCAAACGCCCTCCCAGTCATCAGTGAACACTTCAACATCACCTCATCCTACGCCCAGATCCTTCCCATCTCTGTCTACCTACTCGGCTACGTACTTGGGCCCTTACTCTTCGGGCCCCTCTCAGAATCCTATGGCCGGCAAGTCATTTTGATCTCGACTTTCTCCGGCTTCACCGTCTTCACTATGGCCTGCGCGCTAGCCCCAGGTTACACTTCTCTGCTCGTCTTCAGACTTTTGACAGGGATCAATGCCAGCAGCCCCATCGCTGTCATTGGCGGCGTCTTTGCCGATATCTACGGAGATCCGGTGACGAGGGGAAGGGCCATGGCAATATTCATGGGCGTATGTCTCTCCGTCTTCCCAGCGTGATCAGAAACCACATACTCATCTCGTCCATAGGGAACCTGCGTTGGCCCCCTGGTTGCTCCTGCCATCTCGGGCTTCGTCAGCCCCTCGCTGGGCTGGCGCTGGGTTTTCTGGATTGGGCTCATGTTCGCCGGCGCTTCTTGGGCTCCTCTGATATTCCTCCCCGAGACGTACGGGCCCATCCTCCTTGCGCGCCGCGCCGCGCATCTGCGCTCCTCCACTGGAGACCAGAACATCTTCGCGCCCATCGAGCTCGAGCAGAAAGGCTGGAAGCAAATGGCAACTGTAACCCTGACACGCCCCCTCCGCATGCTTTTCTTTGAGCTCCTGGTTTTGGCGACATGTTTATATGTGAGCCTGGCGTACTCGATTTTTTATATGTACTTCGAAGCCTATCAAATTGTGTTCCAGGGCATTTACGGGCAATCACTTGGCGTCTCGGGTCTTATGTTCCTACCGATTGGCGTTGGCGCTCTCCTTGCTGTTGGGATCTTCTTGTGGTGGGACTCTTATTTGAGACGTGCACAAGTGCTCAATAAACCCTGGACGTTCAAAGAGGAGTCGAGGAGATTGCCGCTCGCTTGTCTCGGTGGCCCGCTGTATGTTATCAGTCTGTTCTGGCTCGGCTGGACTTCCCGCCCCGATATCTCCTTCTACGTCCCGATGCTCGCTGGGATCCCATTCGGCATGGGCTACGTGCTCATCTTTATGGCTCTGCTCAACTACCTCACCGACGCCTACGAGATCTTCGCCGCCTCGGCCATGGCGGCCTCTTCCTGCGCCCGCAGCCTCGCGGGCACGGTCCTCCCCTTCGCCACGGCCCCGATGTATGCACGGCTCGGCATTGGCTGGGCGAGCAGCCTGCTCGGCTTCTTGAGTCTGGGCATGTGTGTCATCCCGTTCATCTTTCTGTGGAAGGGGGATCGGATCCGAGCGAGGAGCCGATTCTGCATTAACCTGAAGGAGAAGAAGGAGAAGGAGAAAGAGTTGGCGGGTGTGGAGCGGGAGCGGGAGCGGGAGCGGGAGAGGGGGAGAAGAGGCAGAAGGAGTAATGAGCGCATAGACAGAGAGGAAGGTTATGGAGAAAAGGTCTAAAGTGGATTCCGGGGTCATTGGGAGATGGATGCATTTTCGGTGTTATATTATACCATGGCGTTATCAGGATTTCGTTTCATCTTTCATAATCAAGTAAATGGCGCATCTGGAATAGTACTTCATATCCTTTCGCATGACTGATATTGATTCTATGATATATTTATTAAAGCTGTATTTCCCACGACGACCCAAACTTGACACCTTAGTATAATAAATATACCTATTGGGACGCCAATCATTAATACATACGGAGTAAGTACCTAGTTAGTTAGCGAAGAAAGCTTGTTCTAGTACCTAGCGCACCGAGGCAGGTACTACCTAGGTACTACATCTAACTGCTAATGCACAAACTTTTGTTTCGCATCATACTACGTAACTCTTCACATTCGACAGTTTAAACTTCCTACAAACACAAGCTTTGAGAGGAAAAAAAATCTTGTAAAGCTTCTAATGATAAGAAAAAGTCTATAACTGTAAGAAGAGTTCATCTCATATGTATCATTTGATAGAATTAATTGATGCAGAAATGTATCAAGTTGGCTTTCGCTTAAGCCTAAAGGAAGTCTTAAATAAAGGAGCGACTCCAGCTGTACCTTTTGTAATTTGGTCCATAGAACTATCAAATTTAAGCTTGATGCTTTTAACTATTTATTTTTCTGAAGATATATTTAATAAACAGCGGCTCAAAAAGAAATCCAAGTGGTGACCCTTGTTTTTGGTACGAAAAGTGGTTTCTATGCATTAGCAGTAACCTAGTACAGTAAACAGATGCCTTCCTCACCAGGAAAATTTCATATCTTCGAACGAATCTCCGTGGAAACAATCCATCCTTTTCTCTTTGCGATGTGAATTATTTTTTCTCTTTCTTAATAACAGTTTGAACAAAACAACTTCATGGATTCTTCGCTTCTAGCCAGCTAGCTCCTCATTCCCAGCTACTGACCTCTTTCTTTTGCGAATGATGCCCCTACTCCGTACGATTTTATTTTACTGTATATCACATCACCGCTTGCATATATATGGACAGGTACTCTTCCTCCCAGGTGAGTGAGTACCTCTTGGTTCATGGCGAAATTTCATTTTTGCTTCGAGATCATAAGCGACGCGCTGCTGCTGCTCCTCCAACCTGACCCGACCTGCACAGTTTATTCGATGAGCGTTTGTTTATTTTTCTTCTTCCCTAAAAGCTAATCGGCTGGCTACATACATCCTTCACATACATGCTGCTGAAACCGACGACTCCGGACATCGGTCCCACTCTGTCTACCATGATACCCCCGTACCAAGAAACTACGTCTAGTGAGTGTAGCCAAGTATTTCTGTTCGCCCGGTTTTGCCTCGTCGTCCGTTGCTAGTACAAGCAAGCGGTCTGCAAGCTCGATTGTGAGCTCATCCGAGGCGGAGATATATGGCGTTTCATCACGCGGCAAGAGTCCTAAAAAGCAGTGAGGACAGCGAGGTCTCACGAGAGTCGGAGAATCCGAAGCAATTGAGGGCGGCCTAGTCTCTGAGACGCCATCATCAGCCAATGAACTTGAAATAAGCGGCGTCCGTACAGAGCGGTGTGATGCTGAGTAAATCCATATGCATTAACTTCCAGAAGAATGTAACGGATATGCTGGGTTAGATTTGTGTATTGCATTTGCTCGCAGATGCAACCTCGTGGAACGGTTCTGAGTTAGGCGTCTTCGTGCTCACGGCCTGCGAGCAAATGATAACCGCTCGCGATCCCTTGATACCCTCTCTTCCGGTTTCTTCTTTGGCCAATTTCTTGCAATATCGATTGCATCTCTGGGTGCCAGGAACTCGAGGAGGAGAAATAGCAAGTAGTCGATAACCACACAGAGACAAAAAAGCTTGCCTGCCCAGATGCCACAGCCGTAATATCGCTTCAGGCGATCGATCAAGGCAAAGCTCTGCACACCTGCCCTTCCTCTCGTCGCACTCCAGCTTGCTGCGTCGGCAGCATCGTAGCCATAAAAGTCTGCCTCGCTCAAAGCCCCTGAGATGCCGTTATACACCCTCTCTGTTCGCTCTGCCACGTCCGTCCATGAGTACATCATCTTCACCTGGTCGTGGAACTTTTCAGTCCGGACCTTGTTTGATCTCAATGCGGCGATGGCACGTCCAGTCGCAGCAACCAAGTCATCCTCTTCCGGCTTTGCAAACACCGTCATATGAGCTGGAAGGACTTCAGGAATCCCGCCGACTTGGGTGCACACGACATAGAGACCACAGCTTGCAGCTTCTACAATGACAGTCCCGAAAGCTTCAGTCAGACTAGGATGAAGATATATGTGTCCCCGAACCATCACATCTCGCACCTCTTCGTGCCTGACGGGACCCAACATCTCAACTCGATCCTGTAGCACATTCCTCTCAATCATTTGCTCTAGATCAATGGCCTTGGGACCAGAGCCAGCAATGATGAATCGGACATTCGGATGGCTGGCAAGTATACGAGGGATGGCTGCAACCAAAAGATCAGTTCCCTTGTTATAGAACAGCCGAGAGATGACAACAATCGTGATTGTGTCGTGAGGCCCAAGATGATGGGGTGGGGGTATTATTTGATTATTGAAGTCCGAGGGATATGATGGATGAGAAAGGGGTCGAAAATTATCTGCAACTACTGCATTTGGGATAACTGATACCATGAGGGGGTCAAGCGAAGCTCGAAGGACGGTATTCTCCTTGCTAGATAGGGATTCTCAGCACGAAGAGTTTCGGACTGACGAAGCAAGAGACTCACCAAGTATGACTGACACAAATTACATGGTCTACATCACTGAGAATGAACTTGAGAAGTTTGTTGGTCAAGATACTGGCCGCATCGGCAAACCCAAAGAGCGAATGGTCGGTGAAGACAGTTCTCAGACCCATAGTCCTGGCATGCAAGATGCCCTCGTGGCAGAAACTGCTCAGACTGGCGTGACCGTGGACAATATCAATCTGCTCACGAATCACGATGTTGCGGAAGATGGGGAAGAAGGAGAAGACGGTTGGGAAGGTCGACGATCGGTAGATGACGAGAAAGGGGACGTGGTAGACTTTGAGGCCGTTCGTCAGGTATCGCACACCTGTCCGGCCCTCGTAGGCATGGGTGATGATGATGACCTTATGCCCTCGATCGATGAGCTTGGTGGAGAGCTGATAGATGTGACTCTCGACTCCTCCGGGCTGGGGATAGAAGTAGTCGCAGCACATGGCGATATTGTACGGCATCTTTGAGGATGGGAGGAGGAGGAGGAGCTGGAGGAGGAGCAGGTGGAAGATGACGAGAGGGATGATCGATTGATCGCAGTCAAAGCCGGGGAGCCTCGTTCACTCATCTCCTTGCAGAAAGGGGGAGTTTGTTTGCAATGCATGCGGCGGTTCGTGATTGTTGAGAATTGGTGAGTGGTGATGGGGGAGATGAAGGAAAGATGAGGCCGCGGTCGAGGAGACTGAGAAGACGAGGCTGAGGCTGAGGCTGAGGCTGAGGCTGAGGCTGAGACTGCTAGCCTGGTCTCAATCGTCCGCCGGAAATTTTTTGATTTCTGCAAAAGCAGAGTGCTGTCTCGACCTTCACCCACCACGAGCCACTGCCCACCACAGATCTTTGCCAACACTGTAGCCAACAATGGCTTCGCAGATATATTCTCGATACATTCCGCCAGTCAGGAAGAGTGTTTTATCCTCTCCGGAAGCTGCGGCGCCCGCTATCGACACCCCCAAACCCGCGCATCCTACCCCGCCAGCGACTCGACCCGATGCCTCTTCCACCTATGCGCGATATGTTCCTCCGTCCAAGTCGAAATCCACAGCAGTAGCTCATAAGGTGCCAGAACCAACCGCGGATTCGGGTTCCACCCCTTCGAAAAGAAAAAGAGACGAGGCTGTCGAGCCATCCAAACCGGTCAAGAAATCCAAGAAGGATCTGGTATCAGCCAATGTACTCGCACCAATTGTGCATATACGGGAGGGAAACCAGAAAGAGACGAAGGCGAGCAATTCAAGCGCTGCGGCCGACGCAGAAGTAGTAGAGCAGGGCGACAACGATGTTGTCCAGGAGTCCGTGGGCGATGCGGCCAGCGAGGTGGAGCGCAAGAGAGAGAATAGGAAGAAGAAGAAGGTGGACCAGGACTCTTTAGAAAACCACGCAGCTGAAGAGATTACATCGAAGGAGCGCAAAAGGAAGAAAACCCCCAAGTTAACCGAGGGAGATGAAGATGGAGATGATCCGGTCGAAAAGGGTGATCAGCAGTCGAGGCACAGCAAGTTGATGGAGAAACGGAAAAAGTCGCTGCAGAAGGCACAGAGACTCGCGGAAACTACCAAGGTTACGCCCGCTGCTGAAGATGGGCTGCCCTTGCTGCCTGTTTCTGAAGAAGTTCACGACCTGTGCCCTCTGCCTCAGCCAGAACCCGTCCCGGAACTCCCAGTCCTCCCTGCGTCGGCTTCCCTGCCTTCCTGGCTTGCATCTCCTATACGAGTCTCTCCGACTGCCACTGCCCATTTCCCCGATCTCGGTATCTCGAAGGATGTTACGAAAGCACTCGCGGAGAAGGGATACAGTCAAGCATTTGCAGTCCAGGCAGCCGTACTGCCCTTGCTTCTCACGAAGAATAGACACCGACCGTCTGGCGATGTTCTCGTCTCCGCTGCTACCGGCTCCGGTAAAACCCTTTCATATGTATTGCCCATGATCGAGGATGTCTGCCGAAATGCTTCCCAGGGCATCCGAGGTCTCATTGTGATGCCAACCAGAGAACTCGTCTCGCAAGCACGTCTGGTATCAGAATCCTGTGCCTCCGCGTTTTCTCGAGGTGAAGGATATACGACTCGAGCCAGAATTGGGACTGCTGTTGGGAACGAGACCATTGAAGCCGAACGAGTTCATTTGATGACTGATGATGTCCCTTATGACCGGGAGGAATACCGCAGGATTCCGAGTTTGGAATCTCCGTTGGTGCCACAGAGTTCTGATTGGGAGGATGATATATTTGCCAATGAAGATGTCAAACCTACTCTCCCTGGCGATATATCTAGGCCACGACCCAAGGTCGATGTTCTCATTTGCACTCCCGGTCGATTAGTCGAGCATCTCAAATCCACAAAAGGATTCTCTCTGGCATGCGTCAAATGGCTTATTGTCGATGAAGCCGACAAGCTGCTCGATCAAAGCTTTCAGCAGTGGCTACCTACGGTCATCTCCAAGCTGGATCCGAGGAAGGGAGCAGTTCGGAAGATAGTTCTCAGTGCCACGATGACGAGAGATGTGGGACAACTGAACCAGTTGAAGCTTTTCAGGCCGAAGCTGGTTGTGTTGGAGGGCTCCTCTCAGCCAGACGAGGACATTTCTGCACGTTCTGGGGCCCATGTTTTGCCCGCGCTTCTGGCGGAGTCAAGTCTCAAAGTTGACGACGAAAGCATCAAGCCTCTCTACCTCATGGAACTCCTGAAGCGTGAAAATATTGTCTCTGGCCTGGAAAGCTCAACAGATGAAGTTTCCTTACCGTCAGACTCATCAGATGACGACTTATCCAGCTCCGACGACGGCAGTTCCAGCGCCAGCTCCACCGCCTCTGTACCAAAGCCCGCTGTTGGTACGCGAAACCCAAACACGTCTTCCACGCCCCGTGGAGTCTTGATCTTCACAAAATCCAACGAAAATGCAGTCAGACTCGGTCGTCTCATCGCACTCCTCTCTCCATCGGCATCATCTATTATCGGAACTTTGACATCCACAACACCTACCGCCTCCCGCCACCGCACCATAGCCTCTTTCGCCTCTGGCAAGATTTCCATCCTCGTCGCCTCGGATCTCGTATCTCGCGGTCTGGATCTCCCGAATCTGGCTCATGTCATCAACTATGATGTTCCAAACAGCGTCGAGAGCTATATCCATCGAATCGGACGAACTGCGAGAGCAGGGAAGAAGGGACGTGCATGGACATTGTACACACCGACAGAAGGACGGTGGTTCGTGAACGAGATTGGGAGATCAGAGAACATTGAGCGAGCGAGTGGCTCCAAGATGGGCAGGCTGAACATCAAGGAGGATGCACTTGCTAGTCGACGGCCTAGCTACGAGGAGGCATTGAAAACTTTGGGGAAAGAAGCGAATTCTTCGAGAACCGCGAAGGCATCTTGAGCTGTCAATTTGCTCCATTGAAATTTATGGTCTACTATTCTGACACTCCTCAATTTTATCACTTCTCCATACATATCGGCAGAAATCACGCATATCAATAGGTACATCGAAACCTTCGCAGTGGTCTTTTTCGTCACTTGCCCTACTCGTCCTATAGATGTATTCATCTGACCCCATCTTCTATATATGTGCTCTTCCCACACCTAGTACTGGAACACACCTGAGCATTACGAACGGATAGGGATCGACTCGCACTTCATTTCCAACGGCTTGTCGTGACTAGCTAATTGTTATGATCAAGACAGTAGCACTGACATGATACATCCAGGCTTTTCGAAATTCGGGAATACTTGCAGAATTTCCGACTTCTGCAAGGGCGGTGGCAATGATACCTCTCCCATCCACAAACCAGCCTCCCCTCGTGGGACCGGGTAGCACAGAGCAGCGATGGGAATGGGGGCCTCGGCACATCAAGTATAGCAATGCTATCAGAAATCCTTCCCGGTAAACGGACTCTGCACACTCGCGAATCCCTGCGGACACGCTCTACCTAGCGCCGCACTCCCGGATCGCATGTAGCACACCTTTGCCGCAGCGCACGCCTCGCTGGTGCAGTTGGGACTTTTGATGCTAGATTTCCCCTGGTACGTGTTGAAGGCCTCCACCAAAGTTCGATTCGACTCCATGGCGACTGTCACTCCATGCCAGAAAGTCGCGTTGAGGGGGGCTGTTGTCGGCCATCCCACTGCATCCGCGTACGCCTCCCGAGTCGAGTATTCGAATCTGTACGTTGGTCCAGTGGCATTAAGGGCAGAGTAGGAGTTGACATCAGAGTAGAAGGTATATGCATCGAAGACGTCGAAAGAGCCGGTGTCGACTTCGTACATTCTGTACCCAGAGTTGATGTTGTTGAGCGGGGTGATGGAGGGACCAATCCAGCCCGTAGTCAAGGCGGTGCTGGCATCTCGCACGGTGCCATTATTCGCGTAGTAGATCAAGGTTTGGTCCTCATGAGTATGACCCCAGAAAACGTTTGCAATGACGTGTGGCGAGTACCTATCCACAATCTGATAGAACAGGTCGATGGGGTTGGGCAACAGGTTTGCTCCATCCCACCCACTCAGCACATGCCCAATGATCCAGACTCGCTCTCCTGCATCTTCGGCAGCTTGCAGCTCCTTGATCATGAAGCTGAATGTACCCGAGACGTCCGGATCGGTGGTGTTGATGAAGTTTAAATAGTTGTTTCGATACCAGAAATCAGTATTGAGGGTGATGATGCGAAGGCCATAGTGGTTCTTGACCGAGTAGGCGGCATAGTGTAAGGCAGCTTGCTCCGCAGTCGCATCATCAATCCAGCCATTGTTCTTCCACAATGCGGAAACGTGATCGTAATTCCAGCTGAATTGCTTGCCCAGAGGTCCCGGGAGACTATGGGGCCCATCAATGTTTTCTGGGCTGGAGTCGTGATTGCCGAGAACAGGGAACACGGGACCCTTGATATACGACTTGAGCATGCCGTAGATACTTGTCTCGGTGTACTCGACATACTCTCTAGACATCTCGCTTTGGCGGTCGTGAGACACGAGATCTCCGGTGTAGATGGTCCATGCCGGGCTGGCATGCGTGGTTCCCGTGCCTGTCATGGCACCCATCGACTGCAGAGCTGCAAGGCCTAGATAGTACGGAGTATCGCACCTTTCCTTGTCAGCTGCGCTGAGGCTTCATATACACTGCTTTGCTTATCTTACTTGTAGGCGCCGTAAAGAGGAGCCGGGAAAATGACTGGAGATGTTCCTGCGGCCGAGTATCTGCAGCAGAGTCCCGACGAACAGTTCGCTTCCGAAGCAACCTGGTATCGCGGATCAAGATGAAAATCGGACAGATGAAGAACCTTGACTCGGGTCCCACTTGCCCTCGGAGCTGTCGCGTTGGCTGGCTTTGGCTTCGGAAACAGGTTCGTCATGTTCAGCGGACTCGTGCTCGGGGCTGGGCAGAAGGTGGTGCTGAGAGAGCTGCAAATATACCTCCCATCGAGACCTGGGACATTGGCCAGGGCAAGAACCTGCGTCCAGATGGCACCATAGGCCCCTGGCGAGTAATTTGCCTTGCACGTCACGTTCGACTGAAATCCTGTCGCTTGACACAGCGATATCATGGCTTCAGGCACGTAGGTTGGGACAGACTGCGCCAGGAACTTTCCCACGCTCAGAGCAGCAATGCACTTGGAGCAATTGCCAGCCAGACCCCCATCTTCGTAGATGATGCCCCTGATCTGCGCCAGTGCGAGTTGGACCAGGGCCTCGGCTGCAGCACTGGTCAGATTGGCCACTCCCGGGGGATAAAATACCGGATCTGGATTCAGATTCTCGACCGTCGATGGATCTGTAAGATTGAGCGGATAGGTGTAGTTCAAGACGGGATCGAACAAGGCTGGTTGAGGCTCGCTGGTAGGGGCTGCTTTGACATAGTAACTTGAGAAGACTGCTGTCGGGAAACCAGAAGGGACCACGTAGGATGCGGCGCCGGGGAGGTCGGGACCGATTGAAGCTGCGGCTGCAGAACACCATGCCAGAGAGGCGAGCTGGACTGACTGGGCTATTCGCATCATGATACACCGATGAAGATGAGGATGGAGATGAAGATGAAGATATGATCCCCTGAAGTATGATTAGAAAAGGCATATAAGGTACCGGTATGTGAGGCAAGGTACCTGAGCGTAAAGATAGACCGAGAAATACGCAGTTAATGCTTTCGGCTAATTGTTGATTGTTGTTGTTGTTGTTGTTGTTATCGTTATGGTTGGATTGAACATAGCAGAGGATGCAGTCAGTATCTTGCAATGCAATACAATCAACGAGGAAGGCACGACCTTTAACTCGTCAAATGTATGCATATCTATCATGTATGATACCGATAGTTGATAGTGAGAGCGGGGAAGTGAAAAGGTAAAGTCCAGTAATGATAAGCATCATTGTTGCTCTCGGTAATTGACGGCCTCCATCTCATCCTTTGAAACTAAAAATATGAGATGGAAGAAGCCCACCGAAGCGAGCCGACGGTTACCACGCAATTTCCACTCCGCCATTCCAGCAGGTCCTTACCGGTACTTGTATGATGAGCTTTGGATCTAGATTGATATACCTATTGACCTTGGGCGCTCAGTTACAGAGGACCTTTTGCATTCTTATTGTGAACGACTTTTAACTTTACTTCTTCTACGAATTGCAAGCGTCGGAGAGCCGAGGAGGTATGTCCAAGTCCCGTGATCCGGACTTCCCAGGGCCAATCAGGATCAGGGTTGGGAGTGGGAGTTGAAGGAATATTGCCCTGCACGTGGTCAATTCCCATGAAGATACGGTACCGTAGCCGAAGATATACGCAATGTAGGTACGTAGTACTTCGTACACTGCAATCTCGGAAGTTTATTGAAAATGCATGAAGATGTTGGTGAAGTGCCGAGCACTGCAGCGCCACAGTCGTCGTCGTCAGGGCAAATGTATAATAGAAAATATATATCTTCGGAGTAAAGGAGATTTACGGCTTCCGCAATCCATCATTTACAAATCCAAATCCAAATCCAAATCCAAGGACAATTTCATCCCACATCTGTGATTCTGGGAAAGCTCAAGCTCAAGCTCAAGCTTTTCGTGGCCGTTGGAACTGCATCAACAACAATCTCAAGCTCTTAACATCTCTCTACTCTACCTACCGGTACCACCGACATCCATCACTTCTTGTAACAAACAAACAAACCTTTATCGTCTTCCCTTCAGCCAGAATGGCGGATCATCAAGATCCCAAGGCAGCTGCAGCGGCAACAACAACTGCAGACACCACCACCACTCCTACCACCACCAGACCCCAGACAACCACAACCAAAACAACACCAACACCAACACCAACACCAACACCAAGCACCCTCTCCAAACTCGCCACGAAAGCAAAAGGATACACCAAGTTTTGGGCCGAGCACGTAAAGAAGGGGGAAGCTCCCTGGACCCAGTGGTACTGCTGCGGGATCGTCAACGGCAAGGTACGTACGCACATCGTCCAAGCAAGAGAAAAAGAAAGAAAGCAGCCCTGATCTCTCCCCGGAGACATATACCAACCATCACTAATCCAAATCCAGGAATGCGAAAAAGAAAACCACCGCCTGCACAAGACATGCAGGGCGTGCAAGCATCACGTGTGCGAGAACTGCGTGAAGGGAAGCATCTAGTTAGGAGGTGCGGCCAGACTGCTGGATGCGCCTCTGAAACGAGGAATCCATCTTGAGATAGGAGATCAGAATGTAGGCTAAGTAATGAATTGATGCGGTTCTGGTTACGGCGTCAGGATGTGAGCGAGCATACGGAGCTGGGTCCTCTGGATCAAGTATGCCGCGGGTGCATCTTCAGAGTCGAGCATCTTGTCAAGCACGCAAGGTGGACTGCTGATTCTGGCTGCTGCAAGGCTGCGTGAAGATACGTATCTTGTATCGCATCGACTATCGGAGGCGCCCATACCCGTTCCCAAGACGACTCTGCCAGCCCGCACACGAGTTGTTGTTTTTTTTTTGGTGTGGACAAGACAGCATTCGTCCCAGAACCTCTTCTGCGTTTCCAAAACCTCTTGCGGTGGATGAGGACGACTGCTTCTACGAGCTCTTGTGCTCAGCGGATGCGGAATTCATGCGATGTTCGGTGCTGGCCGAGATGGTCTTCGATGTGACCGTGTGGTGCGCAACCAAGATCTAGAAAGGATTTCCCCCTCCCCCTCTGCAACACACTTGATGATTCACGGATGATCGCCGAGGTGGAGGTATATATATATATATATATCGCTCTCTCTCTGAATCGATTTACGCGCGGGCTCTGAGTCGGCATTCGGTGCGAGAACTTTGCGAACCCTTTTGTTATCGAGGCGGTGAACATGAGTGAAGACGCCAACCCCGGTGAGATTTTGGCTTCCGAGATGATGATGTGTATCGGCCTCTGCCACTTGAAGTTCTGGCAGAGCTGACTCCTCGGAATCAGATAGCGAGGCGAGAGTCATCTTGTGCGGTCGTTGGTGCCGCTGTCGCTGTCGCTGTCGGGAGGCAATCAATTTTGTTAACCAGATTGATGACAGGCGACGATGGCCATTTATACGTGCGATGCAGACTACGGTAGGATACGGAGGATGAAGATTCCTCAGATTCTAGGTCAGTCAGACTCTGCCACATGCGGCCAGTCGAACCAAAGCCAACCCAGATAAGAAGACGGATAAACAGCTCTTGTACTTGCAGCAGACGGTAGGATTGGATCGATTCTATTGACGCGCCACTCCCTTCCAACTATTCTGACAGCGATAAAGTATCCATATCCTCAGCTATATCCATCATATCACCGATCGAAGAAACTGGACTCATTTCGCTCGGGGATCCACGGTCTCCCACAATCTCCCATTTGTCCTCCCAGTTAATAGTTTCGCTCCCATGTTCTTCTTCCAGCTCTTCTATTGTTCTGAAGCATTCAGACCATAAGCTCAACACATTGTTGTTGTTTACCACATCAGATGGAATGGCCATATGTAATACGTTCGGCTCGAAATTTGACGTCCGTGAGACGCGTAGCACTCTTTCGGGATGGTCCTCTGTGAAATGCCCAATATACTCCACGATGGACTCTTCGCCCGCGTCCCATAGTTGTATATTTTCAACCTCACCATTCGAATGATTCCTCTTTCGATAATATCTTGGGATATGTATTTTGGGCGCCCTTGCAATGCTCTCACTATTCGCATAGGCAACACAATACCACCTCGGTTTCCATGGATGGCCTTCCACGGGAGGCTCTTGTGCTATTTGGATCATCAGCTTGGTGTGATGAGTGACGATCTGTAGGTATAGAATTATCTTACTTATGTAAAAACCACGTCCTAATTTATGAGACTCATCGACATATCTCTGGCTATATGGAATATTATCATGATTGATGAGCTCGGCGTGAGCCTATTTATTATTCGCGTAATTAGCATAAGCTTGTATATATGATATAAATCCAAGTGAAACTTACCGGGGCAACTGTGAGCCAGCCGATAATTTCTCTTGCCCCTCTTACTCCTTGAGCTTTACTAAAGAGATAGATGAAGGCTAGCAAGACCGCCCGAATAGAATTCGGTCGTCGTGGCATCGTATCTGCAGATATCGGAAAAGAATCGTTTTTTAAAAGAGAAAAAGGTTTCGGAGAGAACAAGCTTGCAAAGGAAGTTAGTTAGTTGACTCGGAAAGTAAGATGCAGAAAGGGATTTATAGTAGTACCTTTCTCTGGCTGATTTCTATCTCGTATTCTAATCATTTTATAAATATAATCCAAAAGGATGCTTCTATTCTCATATGGTAGGATCATTGTAGATATAGTACTTCGTAAAAACGAAGGTGCGCTTAGCTTACTATTCCTAGCTACTCGTGCGACCAGCATGTCTGATCCGCCGAGACCAAAATCATCCCAAATATAGAACCAAATTTACTCGTGGGGCCAAGTACGTAATGTCGAAAACCATTCCCAACATATGACAAATTATCCAAACATACACGTTATACGACTAGAGTCAGATTTACTCGATGGAGCGTGGCCAACCATACAGACATAGAGTCTGTCCCCAGGTACTCCAACTCAAATTCCGGGGAAGAGTGCGCCCCGACTGCCCCCTTCCAATGTTCCGCCAACCGAGCTGGAGCTGGAGCTGGAGCTGCTGGCGGGGGAGGCTGATACCTACTGAGCTTTTAAGTGAGAATCTTTTGAATTCCCAGTCCCAGACCATCTTCGTCGTCGGGAATCTCGTTCCCATCGTCGCAACCACGATCGCCCTCCCCGTCAGGAAGTACCCGTCAAGCGAAGCGCAACTCGGCATCCTACCTCTCCACGCGGACGGCCAACCGCACGACGTGGCCGACCGGCTGGGCTAACATGCTCGCCTGGCTCAGCCTTATCTAGACGATCGGTGGCTTCGACTCCTGCGTGCACGTGAGCAAGGAGGCTGCGAAAGCTGTGAAGGCTGTGAAAGCTGTGAAAGCTGTAAAAGCTGTAAAAGCTGTGAAAGCTATGCCCTACGGAATCCTCATGTCAGTATACCCGTGCTGGATCCTCGGCTTCCTCATCATGATTGTTCTCGCCGTCTGCATCGACCCGACCTCGATGCCGTGCTGGGCTCCGTGTACGGGCAGCCGATGGCGCAGAGCGACTTACACGCGGTGGGCAAGAAAGGAACCCTCGGTCTCGTGCCCCTGCTGTTCATTCTGCATTGCCTGGTGGGCTCCTCGATCTTGGGTGTCGTGTCGACAGAGCTGGCGGGATGGTGGAATACCGTTCTCGGTCTTCTTCCGATCAATCTCGAAACGATTCGGATTTATTCCGCCGAGAGCCATTTGGGAGGGGGAGATTGAGTAGACCCGGGTCTGCTTGAGAGTCTGTTGGTACAGAGGAGAAGGAGCCCGGGCGCCAAACTAAAGCATATCTGCAAAATATACATTCTTTCTGATTGACAGTACAGATTTGGGTGGTGCTAAATATACTTACTTTGAATCTTTCAGGAAATACCCTACCCGCTTCATTATATACTCTATTCAGAAGTTTACTGGGTGTTTACATACATGCCAAGATTGACATCACCTCTCTGCGAGACCGAAGTGAGCAATGTAAACAATCCTTTCATTAATATTTTCCTTTTACATCTGCATTCTTTCATGTATTAATCACTTATACGGATGTCTACGTACGCATGTATACAAAGTAGAAATAGGTTGTAAGGTCAGGTTTGTGCTTTCCGGCAGAAGTAAGTCGATTGATGTTTATTTCTGCTATTATCTTGTTCGTCGTTGTCAGTTTACTGCCTCGATTTCATTTTATAAAAGTGAATAATAAGTGCTCGTGCTTTCCAGCAGAAGTGAGTCGATTGGTGTTTATTTCTATCGTTGTCTTGTTCACCGTTGTTAATTCATTATCTCGCTTTTATTTTAGAAAAGTGAATAATGATTTACTATGCTTTTGCTTTTGGGCAGGCGTAGATTGATTAATGTTCACTTTTGCTATTTTCTGTGTGACTCTTGTCAATCGACCGTCTTACTTCTATTTTGCAAATGTGAATAATAACTCTTTGTATTGTAAATTTTTTTTTTTTTCCAAAAGTGAATTCTAATATTTGTTATATATTCTCCGTTTGCAAAAGTGAACTCTGATGATTTTTATAAATTTTTTCGTTTGTAAAAGTGAATACTGATTCACTGCGACCGACGTATGCTGCTCGTGTACATATACTCCAGTCTCATCTTCTCGACTTCCTTCTCTGCTGTCAATAACAACAACGAACAACTCGATCTCCTACTCTACTTCTTCTCATGCTACTTCCAATTACACACAGTCCTTTCCAACACACAGTCCTTTCCAATACCCAACTCCTATCCTACTGCGTCTCGATTCGATCGCAGAGGTAGTCATCCCTTCTCTTCAGTTACAATCTCCACCCATAACTTGAGCAGGGAGCGCTGCTTCTAAAACTCACCATCCCGATTCGCCGGTTGAAAATGGATAGCCTAAACCTCGATCTCTGCATCTCCTCTCAACCCTCAACCTTAGTTCCAATCCCAATATCGAAATCAACCACAACTTCGATCTCAACCTCGACCTTGGATTCTTTAGCGTCAAGCTCCATCTCAACCTCAACATCACCTCCTTCAACAATCTACACCCCACCCCCTTACATCAAGCCTCCCGGAGCTGTCCTTAAGAAAGGCAAACGAAACAGGATTCACATCCCGACCTCCCTCCCGACCGTCTCCATCTCGACCTTCCCCCCGTCCACCGCTCCCGTGCTGGTCGTCACCCAGTGGCTGACCAGCATGTGCACGCCCGCCGAGCTCAAGAAAGTCCACCTCGGTGCCCGCATGGTGGAGCGGTGGGCGGGCACGGAGCGGTGGAACGGCAAGTACCTGCACGAAGCGCGGCCGGCGACAATGGCGCGGGAACTGTGAGTTTGGTTTTCTATTTGTTTGTTTTTTGATTCTCAGACCCTTGTAGAGATACATACATACCCCTTACCGCTCCTCCCCCTTCTTTTCTCTTTTCATCCAACGCCTTGGTTTTGACCTGCGGGAATATTGTACTACCGGGGACTGTGAGCAGTACGCGTGAATGAGTGAGTGACGAGTGAATGGACAATCTTGGCTGACTTTCTCTCTTGCGCCTTTCTAGAACGATGATGGGATTCATGAAGGGTCGAGCGAAGACCATTGCGGGATTTGTGGTTGGGGCGCGGAGATTGAGCCTGCTTAGCAACCGCAATAGCGGCGGCAGTGCGGAGGAAGAAAAGCAGCAGGTACGTACTTCTTCAAGATTTAAATTACCGACAAAGCAAAGCATATGGGCATTGGCTGACTGGGATATGTAGATCAAGGGAGAAGGAGTCTCTTCGGTCCTAAACCGGGGAGATGATATCTCCACCACGATGGGAAAAGTTCCCATCGTGGCAGCAGCCGAGAGACATCGGGCAAATGACTTCTTTGGTGGAGGTTCCCTTGCTCTCCACCAGGGTGGAAGGCTCGCGGTCAATGAGCACTACCTCAAGTCATCGACTCCACAACCAAGGCAACGACCGGGGGATCAGGATCTCGGCCTCATGTCTCCATCCATTGAGATGGAGACTCCAGAAGCTGGAGAATTGTTTAATTCTCGACAGAGATCGGAAGATCGGGATTGTGAGACCTGGGTCTAACCGGCCAGGATGCGAGCGAGGGTGAGAAGTCTGCTGGTGTGCTTGCGCACAAAAGACTCGAAGAGACCAGTGCGTGAACATGGCCCTCGATCTCCTTCCTGTACCTTAGATTTCTTCATCTCAAACGGGCTACGAGCCACATGTATTGTATAATTCAACGGGCATGAAATTTTCCTTTCAGGCCATAGGTCGATGAGCAGAGCAATGAGTTACTACTTCCAAACTTTCAAACTTCTCTATATTGGTCCATTCATTGATTCATTTTGGTTCTTTTTTCTTTATTCGGTGCCAATTTGCTCGTGATATTGATTTCCCTGTGTGCTGTTCCGGGTGGCTCGGCCACTGATTGGAATTTGCGAAGCCCAACCTTGCTCCCAAGTTTTCGAAATCTCTAAACACTCTGGCACATCAACGTCTTCTCCATCCAATCCAAGTCCAAATCCCGACTTTTCAACTTCTGAACCGCGCTCGCACCGTTCTTCCGAAAAAGAAAACTATAGATTCAAAAGGAGCGTGTTTATTTACTCGTCTATTCACCTATACTTTGACTTAAACCCTGATTTAGAATTACCAGTACAGTTTCAATGGTCTCGATATCCCTTTCGAGTTTCCCAAGATAGGACTTGCGTTTTGTAAAAGAAAGGTGGGCATTCTGACTTCGGTGATTTGAAAGGAAGTGAGCAAAAAAAAAGTAAACATCGGGTTCTCGCTTGTTGCGCACTAGCCGCCGCGGCGCTCTACTTGCTGTACTGTTCTTGATTAGTGGATTCGGAGAATTTCAAACAGTGGCAGCACTTCTTACAAGTCTAAATAAAAGAACAAATACATTCGATTATCTATCAAATCATTTTCTCAAAAACTCAATCCTTCTAACAGAAAAAGTTTCTGGGTATTCTGGTGCGGGAGAGACTTTGAGCAATCTAGGGCTCAATGGAAGAGCAGGGTGCAATTCCACTCTTTACCTGTAGCCTAGAACTAGTAGAGCAGTATCGAGAATGGAGATTCGAGATAACAAACACTTAGCGAGGGAATTTATCATGGAGTCTCTGATGTTGCCCCCGCGAGTATTTCAGAGATTCTTGGGCCCCTTTAGTACTCAAGATGGACCCCTCGGACGGAAAAAAAAACCCCCCCTGAGGCAACGGCTTAACTGCCTCTAATTCATCAATTTTGAAAGAATTTACATCGTATTCTCCTATTTCACGTATACCTGAAAGCTATTCCCGGCGTTCACCTACCTCCGTCACAGGTGAGCGTGTGAGCACGAGTCCAACTCGATCTCCATAAAATTAAGCGAGAAAAAAAAAAACAAAAAGACAGGCGCCCAGATAAACAAACCCCTTCGTCTCTTCCACATCTTCCCTCTCCTTCTTCAACCATCCCCCGTCCACCACCCCCCTTCAACAGAACCTCCCTGTTTGAGCAAAGAGCCACGTCTGCCACTATCCGCCATCATGGAGCGAAATATATTTAAAAGCGACAGCGACAGCGACAACAACAGCAGCAGCGGCGCCGAGACGCTAGCCCACGTCGCGAGGCTCAATGAGGCCAACCGCACCGGGACCTCCTTCCTCACAGTGCACCGAGCCAAGCGCGACGTCTTTCCCTTCCCAGAACCCTACGAACCCGCGCAAGAGATCGTGCCCATCATAGAGGACCAGCCTTTCGCGCCCGCCGTCGCGGCACCAGCAGATGAAGCCGCAGAGACACCAACAGAGGAGCCCAAGAATATATCCATCCTCGATACGCCGACGCGATTCCCGGCCAACTTCCACCCGCACCCGATGTTCCAGCGATTCATCATGGCCTGGCCGAGCGAGAAGGCCCCGTGGCAGGAGATGGCGCACTGGTATGGCATGTGTACGTATCAACCGCAGAACCACCATCGATCTATCCATCCATATATATCAATACCGAGACCGGAGGGGGAGCTTGCTGACTCGGCGCCTCGTCGCGCGCCACGCGTAGGGTTCGAGGCGACGGGCCTCTTCGACAGTGATGTCGGCCTGATTGATTTCTTGGGAACCCTCGTCATGGGCGGCTGGCTCACGCGCCGGATCAGCAACTACAATCTCCTGCTTGCGTGGTTTGAGGCTCGCAACGAGTTTAGGGGAAAGGATAAGAAGTGGTAGTACGTATGTTTCTATAGATTACATTTCCCCCCATCTCCCGGGAAGAAATCTTCCACTGACTCGCCCGCGATCGATAGTTCGAACGAGATCATCGAGGCCCTGGCCCAGTACGCTTGGTACGCCCGGGTGGAAGGCATGAAGCGCGACCTTGAGGATGCGAAGATCAAGAGCCCTGAGCAGGCCAGGAAGCCGAAGAAGGTTGCGTCGCAGGAGAAGCCGCAGAACACACCTGGTCCGGTCCGAGGCGATCTGAAAGATATCCACAACCGCACCGCGCTGGGAGTGAGCAATACCAATAGCGATATTGCCAAGATGTTGCAGGAAGATATTGCAGACAGAATGGCCGGTCGCGGACGCTACGGTCCGGTAAGTTCTTCTCCCCCAAATCTCCTCGTCTGGGGTCATGGCTTGCTCACTCGTGTTGTTGCATAGGGCGGTGACTTGACCTTCTTGGCTGGCACTCCTGCTCATAACATTGCCTACCAGTTCGCAGGATACTCTCTTAATCCGGGTGGGCTTGATCCAGGAGGGCATAATCCAGGAAGACCTATTCCAGAAAGACGTGGTCCAGGATGGGGCAGCCATAGTTACACAACACTCAAGCAGCTTTATAAAGGCTATAATTCTTCTGCAGACGAGGATGAGGAGACTGACGAAGCAGAAGATGAAGATGAGAGTAAGTGACGAGAATGCCCCTTGACTTCTACTATCGCTGGTCCTAGATCTCTGCCGACATTTTCTGATTCCTACAGGCCCAGTACAGCGATTTCCTCGCCTCCCTCAACCAGAAAATCCCTACTACACCGGCCCATACTACGTTCCCACCCCCGCCGCTCGCAAGAACAGCCGCAACGTCGGGCGATCGAAGATGCCGGGATCTGGCGCAACTAGTTACGACGTCAAGAAACGCACCCTGAAGCTGATCCATGGGAGGTTGATGGAGCGGGGGATCTATGTTGACAAGTCATATGTCCTCGCCATGTACGAGAGTTGTGGGGGCAAGCCTGCGGATACCATAATGGCCATCAAGGAAGATGCCTTCAACCACCGTGCTCCTGCTGCAGATGTCGTTATTGACGCTGAGTTCATGGCTGAGAGTACATGGGAAAGCGTGAATACAGCGGACGAGGGTAGAGACATGGACAGAGGCGTCGATCACGGCATGGTTGAGGATCTGGATCAGTTTTGGCATCCCTGGCAAGGACGTTAGTTCTTGCCCTGAAACCGCAAATAGCAACGGTCCCGACGAAGCCATGGTCGAGATGATTAAGGTTTCCTACTCAGTTTCGTCCTCTGAGTCTGATTGAAATGGTCATCACCACCGTCCTCGGTCCTGGCATTTTGCGATTGGGCCGAACTGGGTAAATATGGTTAACGATGAAACTACCAGGCATAAAGTACTTTTGCTTTTGTCTTTTTTTTTTGGTGCTCTCCGGTTAGATTTGCGTGTGATTAAGAGGCTACGATAGATGATCATCATAATGATGATGGTGGTGATGGTGATGATGAAGCACGACTGTCTGTTCTCTCTTTTCAAATCAGAAATGAAGTGAAAGCAGATTTTGTTTTGAGCTTTCAACTTCCTTATGCATTTCAGTGTAAGTGAGACTCGGTGATTTTTTTTTCCTTTGGTACTGTTCGTTTGTTGTTGTTGGGAAAAAGAGAGGGGGGGCTCCTGGGTCGTGCCTTCCTTTTTCGGTAGAGTAGGGCTGGCTTGATAGCCTGCCTCACCAGTAGGATACTTGTCTGCGTTTTCCTTCTTCTGTTCATTCTTCTTCTTATTATTTCCTCCATCTTTCTTCTGCTCATCCTCTGTTCAGCATCACCAAAAAAAAAAAGTATATACATACATACATATTCTTGTGGTTTCAGATATCCTTTCAAAGTCAAAGCGAGGACATCACATTGCATTGCTGGCGATATAGATATCGATAGGTCTGTACGTACGGATGGACGAATTTGTTACTGTCGGATCCAAAAGCTTTCGATAGCGATAGGGATAGTGTTAGGGACGGAGAGCAGAGCAGAGTTCAGTTCGGTTCAGAAGAGGGCGGATACAGAGTGCGGATACAGAGACGGCTACGGAGAGAGCACAGCCCGACTCAAAACCCTTAGATAGCGACGCAGATTACACAGAGCAGAGCACAGTTCAGAAGACGGCGGCTATAGAGCGCGGCGACAGAGACGGCTACAGAGAGAGCAGAGCACAACCCAACAGACAGAGCACAGCCCAGAACACACCCCAATCCATCCTTCCAAACACGACCTAGTCCAATCTACCCTCCACAATGGCTGACAGGAGGCTCCGACATATTTACGGAGAACTCTATCCGGGCCGGAGCCACTCGCGCCTGATCCTGCCCGAGGACTTCCACCGGGCAGAAGCGGCCACCACGCCGCACATTGCGAGCGACTTCCGCCAGTGGATGCAGAGCCTGATCGGCGAACTGCGCGAGATCTACGAGATCATCCGGAACAGTAGCGTGACCATCGCGCAGTGCGCTCGCATCGCGAGGCGCGAGCAGCAGCGTGTCGTCGAGGACACAAGGGAGGCGTATCGCGAATGGGCAAATATTATGGACCAATGGGAGACGCTCGACCACGAGAGGCAGCGGCTGCAGGAAATACAGGACAGTAATGAGCAGGCCAGCAATGATATCGAGAATCGTGCGAGAGTCCTCGCGCGAGAGAAGGAGGATCTCACAGGACTTTGGGTGGACCTCAAGGATGAGTTGAAGGAGCTCGAGCGGAAAAGGGCCGAGATCCAGCGGCGGGAGCTAAGGTGGCTCGAAGATGAGAAGCCGGAGGTTGCGGCGAGCGCTGAGGTTGAGGTTCAGGCTGAGAGTGAGGCTGAGACTGAGGATGAGGCGACGGGAGATGAGCCTGTATCTGTTGGATCTGCACCTGTGAGCTCTGGGGACGGTGAGGAGAAGGCCAACATGTTTGCCGGCATGTTTGAACCCATTTTCGAGGCCACCACGCGGTGGCTTGCAAAGAAGAGTGACGAGGAACTGGGGGATAAATCGGACAGCGGGAGGATTTTGGGGCTGCAGGACCAGCTGAGGCACTTGAATGCAGTGATGGAAGATGGGTATAGCTTGGATATCGCGGGGCGCAAGCGCAGCTTCGAGATCGTGACTGAGTTATGGATGATTGTGGATCCTCCTGTCGAGGAGGAGAAACCCAATCTCTCCTGAAGGTGGATGGAGCCCCAGTCAACTGAGCAGCCATGTCGCCACCAGGGACCGATCGTGTTGTGTATCTGAGACCGAGCCGTTTTGAGGATTTTGAGTACAAGATTGACGGGTGTTACCATAGCAGCAGCAGCAGCAGCAGAAGAGGCCTTTCTTCTTTTTTAGCGGAGCCTGTATACATACCTACATACATACATACAGCCAGCCAGTAGCAGAATATAACAATACAATGAATAAATTTAGCGGGCAGTCTTATTTTTTTTTTTTTTTTTTTTTTATTTTTACACCTACTACACCTACCTACTCTACACCACCACCACCACCACCACCACCACCTACCT